GCTTGCTCTGAGGCCATGGACAATAACTCTTACGTAGCCCTTGCCCTGCTTTGAGCTTAAACAGCAATGTTACCCTGTGTGAGGGAGAACGTGTGGATGCTGAGGAGGAGGCTTGCTAGTCTTGTACTTAGGGTGTGAGGGGTACACAAAGATGGCAAGCTGAGCTTTCTCTGTGGTGTCTCTTTTTTTTTTTTTACTGGAGATCGAACTCGGGTCCTTGCGCTCCCCAGCCTGAGCTTTCAGGAACTGAACCCTAAAACTTCAGCTGAGATGCCCAGAACATATCTTCAGTTTAAAAGCTCTGCAGGACATGCGAGCTTTTGATTCATTGTGGATCTTCGAGGTACATTATTGGGTCATATTTTAGCTCAGTTAAAATATACATGTACATGAATCCCCTCTCCCCTTTTGGTGTGGTGCTGGGAATTTAACCCAGGGTCTTGCACATGCTGACCACATGTTCTGCCTCTGAGCTATACCTCCCAGCCCCCATGTCCATGGCTCTTATACCTACTACATGTGACTTACTTTTCTAAGTAGCCTTACCCCAGCACAGTTTAGTAATGGTTTATCTGCTGCCTCTTGGTCATTGAGTTCAGGGCTGCACAGAGATTTGGTTTTATAGGAAGTAAAACTTGACTTTGAAAGTATGAGTAGTGTACATGTGGATCAGTTTTAGTGGGAGAGGTTTGGTAAGGAAATAAGTCTTAAGTAGTTAATAAGGGCCTTGTTCCTAATGCTGCCCCATCTTGTGTTGAGAAAACTTGTTGCAGGAAGCTGGGAGCTTTGTGCAATATGTGACATTTCAGCACATAGGTTTAGTTTATCAAATGATAGTAAGTGCCACGGAGGGTCTTAAAGGCCTAGAGAAGAGTGTGTTTATCGGTGCTGTGGGCAAAGGCAGCTTCTAAGTGGACTGTAGGGAGGTCTGAGGTTGGGACTCTCTCTTGGTCTGTATAGCACTTTGGCATAATACATGGAGCTTATTTATTAGCTCACTTCATTTTGATGACACTCTGAAGTGGATTAGTGATGTTCCCTGGGACCCAGGAGCAGGTGTAACTGCTCAGGACCCCTGGCACTGGTTTGCTAAATGTTTGGATTGTAGTGTGAGCTGTGAGGTGCAAATCAGTGAGGGCAGTTGGCATGGGCAGGGGCCATGAAAGATTGCTGTGGGGAGGTAATTTGCACCCCCTGTCTCTTGCTACCTTGGGGTGGAAGCTGTCTGTGAAGTCAAGCTGGATTCTAGGACCTTCACATAGCTCCTTAAATTTGTGTGTGTGTGTGTGTCGGGGGTCCTTGCAGATTTGGTTGGGGATAACTCTGCAATGCTGGTTTAGTGTTGGCTTATACAAAGTCAGAACTACAGGTTCAGGGAAAGTTTATTTATAAACACTGTGACCTAGCAAGTATGTCTTCAGCTTTGAGTCAAAAATGATATCTAGGTGGAAAATAGAGCTAGTGCATTTTTTTCATGGGAGTTGTCTAGCACTCAGAAGTATCTGAATATTTGTTAAGTGGGTGCACTATCCCCGTGAACCTCTTAGCAGGTTCTGTGACCTGGAATAGAATCGGGGGTGCAAACCATTACTACCTGTTTGTTTGTGCTCAATTAGGAATATCAGAATGCTCTTGTGTTGAAGTGGGAGATGATACTAAGAACTATTGTTGACTTCTACACTCTTGCCATTGAGGCTGTTTGAACCAAGGGGGCAGCCTTTGTGAGATGCCCCCGAGGAGACAGCGGTGCTGTACTTACCACTCAGAAAGCACTGGCGCGTACAGACAGCATCCCTGGGCTGCCAGCACGAGGGCTCCCCTCCTCCTCTCTGTCATCTAGGCTGAGGAGCCTGCACAGTCAGAGCATTTCAGTGCCTTCCTTGTCCAGTGTGTATCACCTTGTAAGGAGAAAAGCCAAGGCTTGAATTGAAGTTTCAGGTTCAGAAATCAAGTTCACTGGTCAACATCTCTTAAGATCAGGTTTAGAGACCGGGGGAGGGGGAAGACTGTTTGGATGAGATCCTTCCCCGTTGCACTTACTCCTGTTTCTTCTGCAGACCGTTGCTTGGAGCTGTGAGGACGTGTGGCATGGCTTTTGATGGTTTCCCATCAGTTCAAGCTTTGAGCTGTTTTCCTCCTGCTTCCCTCTTACCTAGGCTAACCCAGTTTATGTTGTCTTTGCTTTAATCTGTACTTCTTTTGTTTACTTTTTGATCACTTCATTAGTAAAGGTTTACAGTACAACTTCATTTGGAGTGGATCTTAATCCTTTGACCATGTCCAACTCTACTTTGAAGCCATTCTACATAACAACACGTACATATTTTCATTGATTAAAGATGACATCTTTTCTTCCTAACCCAAAGTAAATTCCACCTGGATCAAGTAATTGAGTGTAGAAAGTATAGCCAAATAGAACTAAAAACAAAGAATGGCTCCTATAATCTTTGTATTTTCCAGTTTCTTGTCCAAAGCCCAGAAGTGTAGGAAGAGAAATCCTTTAATTTGGCTGTATAACAACTTACGTTCTATACAGTAAAGCATGCATTTTAGGTGAGGTTGAAAGACAAATAGCAAGTTGGGCAAAGTATGATGAAGGGTTAATATTTTATGTCAAGAACAGCTACAAAAGGCAGCAAGATTAAACACTTGACAGAAAATGGAGAAAGGAAAAATACCGTGGACCAGTAAATGTATAAAAAGATGTTTGACTTCAGGAAGGATCCAAGTAATGCAAATAAAAATGAGGTCATTTTAAAATCTATTAGATGAATACAGATTTCTTAAAAAGGCCAACAAAACCCAATATTGACACTGGGTGCGAGAGCAAGCACCTTTGTAGACAGACAGCAATGTGAATTGGTTCAGCTTTTCTGCTAGGCAGTTTGGCAGCATGCATACAACTTAAAATATGTATGCACTTCGACCCAGAAGTTTCCTTTCCAGGGATGCCTTTAGAGATCTGTGTGGAGGGTTATTTGACAGTTTGTGATTGTAGAAAATTAGACAGAATGTAAATAGCTTCTGGTGTCAGGAGTGCTTCAATATTGGTATGCTTCTATAGTGGGATGTGCTGATGTGCTAATTTAGATAGATAGGTAGATCGATAGGGTGAACACAGCTCTGTTCTAAAAGAAAGGCATTATGTGCATGCTTTTGAGGAGAGCCATGACCTTGAGGTAGCTTGAGTGGGCGGCTGTGATCAAATGAACCGAGTGGGGCTGACCCAGTTCTAGGTTTGCACCTGGTACAGCTGCACCCTTTTTTGCATATATGTTTGTTCCGCTAGCTAAAGCCAAGTCATGGCTTTGCTCTCTGCACCACTCAGTTCCCCTCCTAGTACATTTCTTTTACATGGTGGTAAGGGGGAATAGGGGTTGGGTTGGCCTAAATCCAATCCCATAAAACCAAAGACTTTGCTGCTCATTTAACTGGAATCCTCTCGGAGGACAAAAGGCGACTCTCTTTTATGTACTTGATTAAAGTTCCTGGGTTTTCCACTATCTTACTGTATTCTGTTTCCCAAGGGCATAGCCTGCTCGCTTTGTAATTTTCTTCTCTTGTTCCTTTTCATTGCCTAATTCAGTAATAGAGGTGGCATTTAGTAAGCATGGACAGAAAATGATGACATAAATAAGGTCATTGCTGGGCCTCTTTATAGAAGACCTTTTCTTTTTTTAAGCAGAACTGGTTCTTTATTGTTACAAGAAAGCAGAACTGCTTTGTATTTCCATAGGGTGTCAAGGTGTGCAGGTGGATCCTTCCCTGCCTAGGCTGGCAGCAAAGTATCCCCCACTCCCTGGGTGTTTTGTCCTGGAGCAGAGGGACTGCTGTGGATGTGGAAGGACTTTTCTCTGTTAGAACAGCCAGGGCCGAACACTCAGGACATATGGTCAGCTGAACTGTGAGCCCTGTTAGTGACGTTTTCCAAATACCCAGACAGTTGTGACTCAACCATCAGTCTAGACCCTAAGTTCTGTGTTCAGTGATGTGTTTTTGGTTTGAATTTTCTGTGACAGTGAAAGATACTAACATTAAAATCCTTTTCATTGTACGAAAGTTTGGGATATGGGTCAGTGGGGTCCTTTTTCTTGTTCTTCATCTTAGGTGATTTGTTAATTTCTTTTGTCTCATTGCTGAGACAAAATACCCGACACTCAAAGTTAAAGGGGAAAGAATTGATTTAGCTCACAGTCTGTAGAAGTTTCAGTCCATAATTGGCTGGATCCAAGGCAGAGAGGCACATGGCAGAAAGGTGTCACAGGAGAAATAGTTCATGGTGCCCACATGGTAGCAAAAGCAACAAGGGAACCTTAACAGCGTCTTCCTGCCCCTTTTTTTAAATCTTACCCAGACTGCCAGGACTAGGGTGGTGCCAAACCAGTCAGTATGTAGTGGTTTAGTAATCACACGCCCTTAGTCCCAGCATCACACACTCTAGATTCAGCCATCTATGTGTGCATGAGGCTTTGGGGGAAACATCTTGACACAACCATACCAGGTCACATCTTTGGAACCTGGGCTGTGTTGACATTATGGCTTCGCACACCAATTTGAATGTACTGCATATGTGCATCATGTTATGCCGTTACTGGAAAAGTGCATTATGAGGCTTCTAGTCTCCAGATACAAACAGTTGGATAGCCTAAACAACTGGTGGTGAACCTAAGGCACATGTGCTGCAGCCGGCTATTTGTTATCATTGTAAGTTCTAAAAGGTTTGTCATCATTGGCCTAATAAACCATATAGATTTTCCAATTCAGACTCCTCATTATCTTTGATTAAGTGACCAATGAAGTGTGCCATTGTGCCTTACTTTGGCAATGGGGACTGGTATCTACTGTTTATCAGATAAATATTGGTAACATAACCTGGGGAAACAATTTCATGCCTTCCAGAGTGAGAGGAGAGAAGGACCCAGGTGCTGAAGTTATGAAGCTTCTACTTTCAGAACCAACTGCAAAGTATTCTGAACATTTGTATGACTTTGTCTTTACAGACTGAAATCGCCAAGAGATTGAATACAATTTGTGCACAAGTCATCCCATTTCTGTCTCAGGAAGTAAGTAAAACTGTTCAACTGTTAAAGTGCAATTATGTTGCCTCTCTGTTTGCAAATTAGCTAGTTTTAAGACGTGAGTTTTATCACAAGGAGCAAGTGTGAAGAACATCTGTTACAGCTGAAGTGTGTAAACCCCCTGCCATTCTGTCTAACACATCTGAGGGCACACTGTAGAAGTGGTGACAATAGTTCAACCCCAAATTAATTTTTTTCTATGGGAAACGGCAAAATGATTATCAAGCATAAAGCTTTTGTTTTCTGTAAGTAATATAAGCCTGATAGGTAGGTACTGATGACTCAGGTGCTCTTTTTATCTTCTAGGTAGAGAACTTTTCTTGTGCCAACTTAAAAATGGTTCCATGGGCTTGATCACCATGGACACAGATACCTCATATGTACTTGTGCATCAAGTCATTTGACAGTGCTATCTATGGAGGCAGTGGATAATAAATCACAAAGATAAAATAAATATTTACATTATGTTGATTTAGTGAATCATGGACATAGAAAAGCCATTTTATTTGGTTACAAAGTCATCGCGAGGTTTAACCATAATATTTTGAGGGGGAAATCTGTGAAATTGACTGTTTAGTTTTGCTTTGAAAGGTCTACCCTCCTTTTAGATAAATCTAATAAATGCTGCAGTGTGTCTTCAGTGGGTACAGGATGAATGTATCTTGGGGCAGGATGAAAAGCCTGTTGGACTTGGAGTAAGAATACTGGGCTTTGGTTCTAGTTAGCTTCTGCTGTTCCATGCTGATTGATTTATTTTTGAATCTAGTTGTTTAGACTGTAGTAACTTTGATCTCCACTGGTCTCAAATCCCCCAAAACTCCTTTTCTATTTTTGGGTGGGGTTGGAAAGGGTGCAGGGTGATTTTCCTTCCTGAAGGTAGCACCTTCCTTTTGAGCGAAGACTCAAAAGGCTAAATGAAGAGAGGAATTTCCAGAAGTGCCAGAGCTGGACGGATCAGCGTCTGTTAAAGAGAAGTGATCACAGACCTAGGGTGTATATCAAGCATCACAATAGATGTTTTGCCATTCCCAATTACCGTGTCGTGTGAAGTAATGTGTGCTTGAGAAGCGGCTGTTTAGACCCCATATTTTGACCTATAGGACATACAGCGTGTGTCTTTCTGTTGTTCAAATATATAGGGAAGGGCTGGGGATTTAACTCAGTGGTTTCGTCGCCTGCTGTGCAACCACAAGGACCCAAGTTTGATCCCCGGTACCAAAAAAAAAAAAGGCGGGGCGTTCTTGGCTATTGTTAACACGTTCTCTTCTCCTTGTTTTCAAAGCATCAGCAACAGGTGGCCCAGGCTGTGGAACGTGCCAAACAGGTGACCATGGCAGAGTTGAATGCCATCATCGGGGTACGTGGCCTACCAGGTCTACCTCCTACAGTGTGTATAACCAGCTTTCATTTCTTAATAGTGTGATGGCTTAATTTATATGTATATGTATGTAATTTTCTGTACCCTAATGTTGACTTGTTTGGTGGGGGCATTGAAAGGGTTTGGGCTATGCTGAGATGTTCGTGGGAACAGGGATTAGCATTAGAGGGATGACAGGAGAAACATTTTAGGAGGGCAGGAAAAGCAAATCTACTTTTAAATGAGAAAATAAGTGCAGTCTATCCCTTGATGCCTAACTCCATCAGTTGAGTAAGAGCTTTCAGTGAGAGCTGTAAATACTTGCCTCACTTCTGTCTTAGAATGTTTGACTGTAGAGAGGTCCAGACAAGTCTCTGAGCTGTCATTTCTCAGGGTTCTCTTTGCTTTTGCCTTTTGCTTTCCTGGGTATTTGAACCTGTCTGTTTGCTCCTTCTTTTTCTTGTGCCTTGTTCATGAATTTTTAAGTGGCACACCAATGAAGGGAGCCCTTTCGCTTGAAGAAGTGTTAATTGTTTGCCCTAGTGCTCTCTAGCCTTTTCATCAGGTTCCTGCCCTCCCCTGTTGAGTACGGTCTGCCCCGGGCCAGCCACTGCTTGTTAATCACAAGTCGTCTGCCCGGCATTAAGGAACCCGGTGAACTGTGTGTTCCACCCCTGCTTGAGTTCATCCCCCAGCCTCTGCAGGACCCTGGATGGTTCTCATGTGCTCTGCCCCTTCCAGACTAAGCTCAAGAAGGAGCTGAGACAAGGGAGGGTCCTTTCTGATTTTATTCATATGTGAGTGCCTTGAACTGATTCAAATCACTCATTTATCAATTTATGTTAATTGCTTGTGAGAAGATGCCCTGCTGGTCTTTCTAGTTCCCTAAGACACTTTGTGATGATAATTAGACATGCTGCTTTATGGATTAGGAGTGCCATAGTCCAGTGATGGCCACAAACAATGGAACCAGTTAATCCATCAGGGCTTAAAATTACATCCCAACTGGAGATGGAGAAAAAACATAAGAGCCAAAGAGGATTAAAGAATGAGCCTCAGCTTGAAAACGCTCCTTTCATCAGTTTCCCAATTGCAGATCTGCAGTGGGGTTGCCTGTGGTAAGCTATTGGCAGTCAATTAGGTGAAATAAACTGGGAGACTGACCTTCATTTCCTTTTAATAGCTTTTTCCTCCCTGAAATGGGGAGCTTCAGTGGATTTTCAGCTTAAATTTTATTCAAGCTGCTTTATTACACTTGACAGCTTAGCTCTGCATAAACAATTCCCCCTCCTCTTCCCTAGATCTAGGCGCTGCCTTTCTTCCCCTTCAGGATCACATTTTTGACTGTTACTTAGTGGGCTCTAATCACATTCAACAAAAAACACAATTACATCTGCATTTGTCTGCTGCCTTCTCTACCCTTTTCTAGTGTAAAGAATTGCTTTATTTCAGAGATCAAATCAAATATTCACTGGTACTTTTGCATGTACCGTGTTTGATTAACAAAGAGTAATAGTGAATTGTACTTGTAGCTTAAGCATGGAATTTTTTAACCTAAATGAATGAGGATGGAAAAGCCTGTTTTGATTAAAGGAAAACATATGCAAAGCAATTCTGAAGTACCCAGCTAAACTTCATGGAACATGTTTGTTTTCTAATAAGCTGTAGATTTTTACATGTAAGTTTTCAGTGGTAAAAGTGTTGCATTTAACTCCTGAGAGGCACTACCCAACCCCTGTGATTCTCTTGAATCTACACTTTAGAGACGAAGCAATTTTATTAACCAGGTGTTTACAGTGATGTCCTTTGAGAGAAATAAAAAAATAAAAATAGGCTGTTTTTGAAGGGCATGTGAATGGCTAATTTTAGGAATGGCTTTAGTTCAGGAAAGATGTTGTTGAGATTATAAAGGTAGTTTAGCTTTTTTTTTTTTAGTACCGGGGATTGAACTTGGGTCCTTATGTTTGCGCAGCAGGCGGTGGTGAAACCACTGAGCTAAATCCCTGGCCTGAGTTTAGCTTTTGATAGTGTAGCACCATTAAGTCAGATTGATGATTGGGCCTAGCATGTGATTTAGGCCCCTTGCATGTCCTTAGTACCCTGGGATGTGCGGTCACTGTCACTGAAATTTTTGGACCAGTATATTAATTTATGTCAGAAGCTTCTTTAAAGTTTTCAGTGATCAATAATTGTCCTGCAACATAAGTTTCATGCTCTGGCATATGTTTGATTTTTACTTGAAAGGAATTGTGTGCATCCTGGAAAAGTGAAGTAGCCTAAAATTGGGTTGACAGTTCAGCAGACCTTCACACCCGGTCATTGAACATGCAGTGTGTCAGCCTGTCTTCCCCCAGGGAGGAGGCACCAGGAGGCGGTCTGTCTTACAAGCAGCAGCTGCGCACAGAGTAAACGCAGCCTAGTTTGATCGCAGCTGTCAGCATTGTTCAGGGACGACTTACGGTGAAGAACAATAGGCAAGGCCATGCTCTAAGTCTGCATCACTCTTAGTCTGCACCAACTTTCAAGCTAAGAAAAGAAATAGTAATTTAACGGTTTAGACATCTATTACAAGTGTGAAAGATCATGAAAGAGTAGCCTTTAAAATGCAAATGAGCCAAAACATTCTCATTCCCTTTAAGGTACAATCAAGGAGCTTGCTACTTGCTTGACAGGGCTAAGATATTTCTCTTTAGCAAGCCTGGAAACAGTTAAAAGTCTTCTTAAGACACCAGGCTTCTCGGTGAGCTCAGGCTGTGTCCGGGCCTGTGGCTGCTTTTGCAGATGAAGAATTGTTTTCTTTTCTGTCTTTGTATCCTTGTTGAGTTAGGGATGGTGCCCAGTCCTTGCCAGTCTAGAAATCTTAGCTCTTGTGTGACAAAATCTACTGCATTTTAATTCTTTTCTACTTGCCTTCAACTTGTGTCAAGTACTGATATTTAAGAAGGATGAGCATCTTACATAGTTGATATTTGAACAAATTACTGGAATATTTTTGCTGGACTTTTTTTTTTTTCTTCTTTCTGGTACCAGGGATCAAATTCAGGACCTTGCGTTTAGGCGGCAGGTATGACACCACTGAACTAAATCTGCGGCCCTGGACTTTTAAAAATAGCTTCCACTGAGCAAATTTGATGACTGCCAGAGTAGTAACTGTAACTCTGTTCTGAATTGTGCTTCTCATAAACTTTCCCACTCAGTGTGTTGCATTCTTGTAGCAATAAAAAGGATAATTAATAGGCACAGGACTTGTTTGGTTTGACACACCTCATGGCTTAGAAAACAAGTTGAGGGAAAACAGACTCATTCATTGGAGACCTTGAGTTTCTAGATCAGAGTCATTTTCAAACTTAGAGCAACAATGGGGCTGGAGAGCTCAGTGGTTCCGCCGCCTGCCTGGCAAGTGCAAGGTCCTGAGTTTGATCCCCGGTACCAAAAAAAAATTACAGCAACATTCTTCAGACTTTTTTTTTTTTTTTTCAATTTGGAGTTGTATTAAGAATGATGAAAATGATGTTGGTTTTTACATGCTATAAAGTCTTATTTGTGGAATCAGTGAATGCTATCTAAATGCAGGGAAAATTGACTCTTCAGGCTCACTTTGCTTTCTTTTACCTGCCCTGATGAATACTAATTGATTGTAGTTGATTGGGATTTCAAATAATATTTTCCTTTAAAAAAGTTTATATCACAGATAATTACTATAGATCTGCCTGTATAGATAAATACATAAGGAAATACATTTCTGTGCTTATACTGGGACTTTTTTTCATTTTATGTAAAATTTCTATATAGTGAAGTACACAGAATTTACATGTATAGCTTGATCACTTTTGACATTTGCACACTCCCAGGGCCCATACTGCATGAGATGTTCTGTCACTGCAGCAGGTTCCCTGTACTTCTGAGTCAGTTTTCCCCACCCTCAAATGAAGTTAGTTGCTTTTTGATTGAAAAGTAATCAGTCAGTCAATACTAGCTGACTGCAGTTGCAGGATGGGGTGGGTAATACTGTAGTTTGAGACATAGTCTCACTATGTAGTCCAGGCTGACCTTGAAATGCTGATCCTTCTGTCTCAGCCTCCCAAGTGCTAGGATTATAGGCATGTACTGCTATGCTTGGCCTTAATTTTCTTTTTTAAAGCAAACAATCACATAGTTGTATATTTCATTTCTAACCCCCTGTTGCCCTACCTGGTAATGTTTGTGGGTATATATATTCCCTCGGATCGTGTGTGCATGGCCCAGGATCAGACAGGCTTGGGTAGGATGTTGAGTGTCACTCATTGCTTCTTGACCTCGTAGAGTCAGTTCGCCTTTCCCAGTGTCCCCCTCTGTTGATGGATAACACTGCACATGGCTTTTCTGGAGGTCAGACCCTGGCATTCTCAATCTTTGTGCTCCCAACTCCCTGGTTGAAATTTTGTGTGCCTGGTTTCTCTTAAGTCCTTGTAACCATTTGTGTGTCAAGTTGGCCACACCCCTGTTGAGACAGTCGCTCTGAGCAGCACATCACCGTTCCTTTTCTAATGGTTTCGTGGATGTAGATATTTGAGGTTAGATCCAGCGCTTGCCATAAAGTTGTCGTGCATGTATGCCTTTTAATAAGAGCACAGTGAAAAAACACTACCACTTAGGTTTTAATGAATAAACTTAAAAGTTCACACCCAAGAGGAAAAAGTTTTAGGAGCAGATAGAGCCGGGCATAGTAGTTTATACCTGCAATCTCAGTATCAGGAACCTGAGGTAGAAGGATCACCACAAGTTTGAGGCCAGCCTGAACTGCATAGCGAGACCCTGTCTCAAAAAACAAAAAACAAACGGACAAAACCTCCCAGAAGGACGTAGAGTTGAAGGCACAAATGTGAGAACAGAACACTTTTGACTTCTTTACCTAACATAAAAAGAGAACAAAGCCATCTGCAGACAGTTACAGGGACTCCTCTGATACAATTGCAAGGAGAGAGAAATAGAAGAGATGGACATGTGACCAGCAGAGATTGTCCTTCCTACCCACAAAAGGCCAAGTTTCT